ATTTCAATCCCATTCATCATTCAAAGAAAATCCATCCAAATAAAAATAACCTTAAAAAAAAGTCATACAACAGGTCCCCCCTTATCGTCAGGGGATATATTGCAAGATCCCTCCAGTGGATGCCTGAACTCCCGGACAGTACTGAACATATATACTGTATAAGCTAGGGTTTTTTTCCCCATACATACCTACCTATGATAAAGTGTAATCTATAAATCAGGCACAGCGAGAGATTCAAAACAGTAACTCGTGATAAAATAGAACAATTGTAACTATAATCTGTAACAAAAGTTATGTGAATGTGGTCTCTCACAATATCTTATTGTCCTGTACTCACCCTTCTTGTGGTGACGGGAGGTGATAAAATGTCCACACAATGACTTGAAGTGCTGTGAGTGACTTAGGCGCTGTGACCTCAGGTTAGGCTACGAATGACCCTCTGAGGATTCGTCACAAGGTGGATCATTTGCTTCCTGGTAGGGGTTGACCTCTGGTCCCCCAAAGCGCAGATAAGGGGTAGGGCGGGGTGGGGGGTGGGAGGATGGGACTACTGTAGTCAAATTTGCATAAAGCATAGCTCTTTTTTTATCCGCCTACAGCCACACGAAGCGAAAACCTTGTGCTCGCTGGGCACACATAGCTCCCTTCCTTCTGCTGGGGAAATTCCAGAGCCTTCTTTAAGAAGGGACGGCTCTGGAATGAAGGGATGGGTGGGCAAACAAACGAGGAACGAGGAACGAGGGAGGTTTCCATAGTATCCTTACCAGCCTCCCTTGAACCTCATTTCAGGTGACAAGGAGGAAGACAGTTTCCTGCTCTGTGCCCATTCCTGGAGACAAGTCATTTCTTATAGGTGATTTTGAAAAGGTTTGAAGAGCTTCAGTGACTTTTTTTTTTTTTTTTTTTTTTTTTTTTTTTTTTTTTTTTTTTTTTTTTTTTTTTTAGGGGTAGCCTTAACTGATTGCTTTCTCTGCGCTTTGGAAAACAGACCTGTCAGTCTTCCGGCCTTTTTTAAGCTTGGAAACCTTTAGTTTGTCAGTAGAAATTTCAGAGAAGTCTTCAAGAGGAGCCAGGAGGTTTTAGACACCGTGGCGCACTCAGTGGTTCGTAAGAAGCCCCGATTCATTTAAATAACGTGAAACAATAACTTACGAGAAGCCTCATTGTAATCATGCTAATGTATTTTTAATGTGACCCTTAGTTGTAAACTGAAACTCAGCTCCCACATCAGTGCTTTATTCCCAAAGCTTCCTCACAAAACTCCTCTGTTAAATTTTAACACAGCACTCTGTTCTCCAGCTACCCTGCCCCGCGCTGCTCAGGGATATTAATGTCACATGGAAAGCCTTGCCTCGTTATTGCCGGAGGGCTCTGAATCACAGCCTGCACAGATGAGGAAGCATCAATGTAACGACTTAATTCATCTTAGAACATCGCCTCTTGTTTGAAGGCCATGCGGGTCCTTCAGCGTTTGCTTGAATAATAGATTGTCCTTACTAACTGGATTTTTTATTGTTTTTAGGAAGACACAAGTATATAGCAACTCATGTAAAAACATGTCAGCCTTCTTAGTATTTATTTCTCTTTCTTTCAACTCCCATTAAGCAAATCTGTTGAGCTGCTTGATAAAGATCGCGGTAGATTTTGGAGGATACGTGGCCCCCTGAGGATTGTCAGCAATCTGCCTCACTGGGCTTCTGTGAGGAGTAAATGAGTTAATGCATCGGGTGCCTCGTAGATAATGGACATGCGTAGTGGTCCCTCAATGACTGTCAGCACCATCCTTTGGGGGTGCCAGATTTAGCAGAATAAATTAAAAAAAAATAGAGCGTGCCCCATTAACTTTGCATTTCAGAGGAGCAGTGAAATTTTTTTTAGTGTGTGTCCTGAATATTGCACGGGGCATACCGACACTAAAACGTTATGCAGGACTCGTCTGAAGATTTCAAGTTAACTGGGCATCCTGTATTTGATCTGGCAACTCGAACCCCTCTCCACCCCGCTTCCCTGTTTCCAGTCTCCAATTTTGCTCTGTTTTTCTCCCTAACAAACCTGGTCAAGGCAGTTGTGTAGGAATAATGAGGGCGATTTTCTTTTTTTCATAACGAAGGCCACACTGCCCCCCGATGTAGGCAGGAATTAGTTTTGTTTTTAATGTTTATTTATTTTGAGAGAGAGAGGGAACGAGCGGGTGGGTGAGGGGCAGAGAGAGAGGGAGAGAGAGAATCGCAAGCAGGCTCCGCACTGTCAGTGCAGAGTCCGACATGGGGCTCCATCCCAAGAACTGTGAGATCCCGACATGAGCCAAAATCAAGACTCAGATGCGTAACCGACTGAACCAGCCAAGTGCCCCAGGGATTAGATTTTTTTAAAAAGGCCCTGCAAATACAAACCCTTGCCACAAATACATAGTTTAGTGCCTGGCACATAATAGTGCTCAAGAATAATGACCAACTGGGGCACCTGGGTGACTCAGTCGGTCAAGCATCCAACTTTGGCTTTCGTCACGATCTCACAGCTTGGGAGTTCAAGCCCCGCATCAGACTCTGTGCTGACAGCTCAGAGCCTGGATCCTGCTTCGGATTCTCTGTTTCCTCCTCTCTGCCCACTTATGCTCGCTGTCTTGCTCTCTCTCTCAGAAATAATGAATACACTTAAAAAAAAAAAAAAAGAATACCGATCAATTAAGTGAATGAATGAAAAAGTGTGGACAAACGGGCCTAATCTCTACACATGGAGAAATGGACAGCTGGATTTCAGCTAACATGATCAGTTGCTGTCAGAAGAGATCAGAAGGGTTACAGAGAAGGAGGACACGATAAAGGGGAGTTACAGTAGGCTGAATACTGGTCCTCCAAAGAAGTCCACATCTGAATCCCAGAACCTGCGAATACATTATTTTACATGGCAAAAGGGACTTTGTAGATGACCCTTGAGGAACGGATCTTGATATATGGGGATTATTCTGGATTATCCAGATGGGCTGACTGTAATCATAAGGGTCCTTCTAAGAGGAAGGCAGGTGGGTCAGAGTCAGAAAAGATTATGTGACAACAGAACGAGGGGGTGGGGTGGGCTGGGGAAGAATGCCTAGATGCTGACTTATGCAAATAGAAAGGGCCAAAGAACACAGAAATTGGTAGATTCCCAAGAATTGAAGAGAATGGGTGTGTTAGTCAGCTAGAGTTGCCAGACCAAAATGCCACAGATGAAGTGGGTTAAAAAATAACTGTATTTTTCTCATAGTTCAGGAGACTAAAGTCTGAGGCCAAGGTATTAGCCGGGCTGGTTTCTCTGGAGGCCTCTCTCCTTGGCTTGCAGATAGCCTCCTTCTCACTGTGTCCCCACACAGCGTTTCCTCTGTGTGTGCATTACCCTGGTGCCCATTTGTGTGTCCAGATTTTCTCTTCTTATCAGGACACTAGGCAGATTGGACTAGGGTCCCATCTAAAGACCCTATATCCCAAACGGCCCCATTCTGAGATATTGGGGCTTAGGGCTCCAACATATGAATTTTGGGAGGGGCACAATTCATCCCCTAACAACAGGATTGACACGTGGAGGAAGTCTGCAAAATAACAGGTTAGTGCCCCCGAGTGGAGACTAAGGTGATAGATACGTAACGATTCAGTGCCACGCAAAGTGATTGGGGGTTGGATGCGAGACTGGAAAAAGGACTTCAGGGGGACAATTGGCAATAATTTGAATAAGGTCTGTAGATGAGGTAATAGTACGACATCAGCGACTGCTCTCTTGCTTTGATCATTGTACTATGGTTATGCAAGACGTCAGTATTTGGGGGAAGCTTGGGTGATGCCTATATGGGAACTCTTGTACAATTTTTGCAATTTTTTTGAAGTCTGGAATCGTTTCAAAATGAAAAGCCAAGAGTTAAAAAAAAACCCTAAAATGAAATAAAATAGGGTAAACAAATAGAAGGGAGGGGTGGTGCCTGGGTGGCTCAGTCAGTTAAGCATCTGACTCTTGATTTTGGCTCAGGTCATGATCTCATAGTGGTGAGATTTAACTCCTTGAGGGTCTCTGTGCTGACAGTGTGGAGCCTGCTTGGGATTCTCTCTCTCTCCCTCTCTCTCTGCCCCTCCCCTGCTGGCGTGCTGGATGGCTCTCTCTCTCTCAAAATAAATAAAAATTAAAAAAGAGAAGAAGAAGAAGAAGAGAGAGAATGAGAATGGGTTTGAATGTGACAGAGAAGGAAGAAAAAAGGGAGGAAAAAAAGCAGACAACTGAGTTCCATTAGATCAGAGATGACATCTGTTGCTGGGGTCCCCCCTGAGCCGTGCTTCAGGGACTCTGCCTGGGAGCTCCGCACGTTTTCCGAGGCAATATTCAGGGAGTCCACACACTGAAGTGAAGGCAATAGGTCCCCCAGCCTCACTTCCCCATCCACGAAAGGCCTCACATTTTAACTTGTGGCTTTACTCTAAGCGACACAAGTGTATTGTGTGCGTTGGAAGAGTGAGTTCCGTGCCTGTAAACACTTAACATACACCATCCTCTTGGTAACTGAATTTTGCTATCCCTTCCCCCCGCCCCCTTTTTTTTGAGCTGCAATTCACATACCATAGAATCCACCGTTTGAAATAGCATGCAATGGTTTTCCGTACAACCATCACCCCTAACAGAGAACGCTTTCGTCGCCCCCCAAGGAACCGCACACCCAGTCAGCCATGTTTCCATCACCAGCCTCTGGCAACGGCTAGTCTACTTTCCGTCGCTGCGCGTTAGCCCATTCTGGACGTTTCACGGACATGGACCACGCGTTTTGTGGACCGGCCACGTTTCAAAGGCTCAGCCCCGCAACGGTTAGTGGCCACGGGATTGGACGGCGCGGATTGGGTGTGCGCGGGCCGCCCAATGACTCGGGAGCATCTGGGAAGACAGGTGCAGGTGGCGGAGGCGGCGCCGAGGGCAGGGCCGGCGGGCGGGCGTGGCCCAGGGGGCCTGCGCGGCGGTAGCTGGCGGTCGCCCCCAGCGCGGGCATGGCGGGTGGGTGGCGGGCGCTGCTGCGCGCTGCCCGGCGCTACCCGTGGCCCACGAACGTGCTGCTCTACGCGGCGCTCTTCTCCGCCGGCGACGCGCTGCAGCAGCGGCTACGGGGCGGTCCGGCCGACTGGCAGCAGACGCGGCGCGTGGCCACCGTGGCCGTGACCTTCCACGCCAACTTCAACTACGTATGGCTGCGCGTGCTGGAGCGCGCGCTGCCCGGCCGTGCTCCGCGCGCCGTGCTGCTCAAGGTGCTGTGCGATCAGGCGATCGGCGGGCCAGTGGCCGTCTCGGCCTTCTATGCCGGTGAGCGGCCCGGGCGGGGACCGGGTCCAGGGCGAGATCCGACGAGGGGGCCTGGAGCCAAGGTTGGGGGACTGGAGGCCGGGGCTGGGGGCTCCTGGGGGCTGGGATGGAGCCAGGGGCTCTGGGGCCGGACCCGGGCTGCAAGCCAAGGGGTGGGGGTGAGGGCAGGATTTCAGACTGCTGAGAGAGCCAAGGGAAGAGCAGGAGGTCGAGGTGCAAGAGTTGACAAGTCTGGGGACAGGAGATTAAGGGGAGAAGTTCAGAGGTGGTGGTTGGAGAAGCGGAGAACTAGGAGGCCAGGGTCCAGGATCGGAGTTGGGACGCTGGGGTTGTGCATAGTTGAGTGGCTGGAGGTTTCAGGGAGCCTGGGAAGTCGGCTAGACCTGGAGGGAGGCAGGACTGGGGGGCCGCCTTTTCCCCTTGGAAAAGGTCCGAATAAACGTCGAGGAGATCATAGCTCCTATCCATGGCGGCTGCAACCCTAGTGACCTAGTTATGGGACAGGGCAGTCCTGCTCCTGGGAAAATCCACGCTCAGGGCTACGGGCCCCCTTTCTACTGGCAGACACATCAATGAAATGGGAGGGGACTGGGGACCATGGGCGCAGAGCAGGTGGAACAGAGTCCCCCAGAAAATTCATGCTCAAGGCCTCAGTCCTGCTTTGGTAACAAGAATTTCCTTTGGGCATTCCCTGTATAAAAAAGCCACAGAAAATGTGAGGGGACCTCGGATCTTGCCATAGAGAACTCTACGCCTAGGAAAAGACCTACGAGGCCCTTCCTCAGAAAATCACCCTGGGTCCTAAAGGGCTGACTTTGGGAATCTTCCACAGGACCTTAAATGCCAAAACCAATGCCAGGGGCTCTGTAGCCTCTGTCCTCCTAGCAGTTTCTGTAGTGGGTGAGGGCGAGGGCAGGGGAGTGGCACCAATTCTGTAAGAAAATCCAAGGGTCCTGGGCCTGGCCTTTGCACTGGGGATAACAGATTCCCCCAAGTAGGTCGTCTTTTCAGTGGCTGTTGGTGCCTTCTAAACTGGGTTGTGGGGCTCCGATCATCTCCTTGAAGAAACCACAATGCCTTATGGGTCTTATTTTGGGGGGCCAGATTCCGTTCCTTTTCTCACAGACCCCACAGGAAGCATGAAGGGCCTCGTTGCCTGCTGTGGGCTCAGCTATCCCATGGCTGATGGGGTCAGTGGGGTCAGGGAAATAGAGGACCCAAGGCTGGGGCTGCTGGGTGCCTGGTACCAAGGTGTGACTTCCATGCCACATTGGCAAGGAAGTTCCTCGTGGCCACTACTGCAGTGGTCTTGAACGCTGGTGAGGATTTGGGACATAGGGGCTGGGCCTCTGGGAACCGGATTCCCATTTGATCTTCAAACAACCAAGGGAGGCAGATCCACTTTATTATTGCTGTGTTACAGAGCAGAAAACTGAGATTCGAAGGGGGTTAAGTGATTTGCCAAAAGACAACATAATCCACACAATCCATTCCATACCATGTTCTTTTTTTAAAAAAAATTTTTTTTTAACATTTATTTATTTTTGAGAGATAGAGACAGACAGAGCACGAGCTAGGGAGGGGCAGAGAGAGGGAGACACAGATTCCAAAGTAGGCTCCAGGCTCAGAGCTGTCAGCACAGAGCCTGAAACAGGGCCCAAACCCACGAGCTGTGAAATCATGACCTGAGCCAAAGTCGGACGCTTAACCGACTAAGCCACCCAGGCACCCCCATACCGTGTTCTTAATCTTGGGTGTTGTCACTGTGTGTGAAAGCAGAAAGAAGCCTCGGTAACCAGGCTCCAGGAGGCCTGCGGTTCAAGTCTGAGGCCCTTGGCTCTTGACATGGATCCCTACCCAGATGGCTGCTTTGTTTTGCTTTTTAGATTTCTGGCCTGATTTCCCTCTCCTCGTGTGAAAATGAAGGTGGGAGGAGTGGGTTGGATGTTTGTTCCAGGCATTTCCAACTGGGAAATTGCCTGTATCAGATGATCCTTTGTGCTGGGGCCACCTGGGGGAGCTTGGATTATGATGGAGAGGTCCAGCTGGGAATCTGCACCCGGGTTGGACGTGGTATAACATTAACCTCCCCAAGCTCATTTTTCTGCTTCTGTAACTACCAACATCCGCAGATTGTTGGAGAGGGGAGTCAAATGGAATAAGGCACATAAAGTGCTTAACGCTTAATTAGTGCTGGTTAAGTGGAACCCGACCTTACCAATACTTGCATGCAAGGGAATTCTCCTAAATTCTGTTCTAAAAATCCCTTGCAATAGGCTGAAAAAAACACCTCTCATTTCCCCTTCCTCCTAATCAGATTTGAAGGAGAATTTTTAAAGCACTTTTATTTTTACTCCTTCCTAAAATAGGAGGATTTTGTCTTTGCTCCCTGAATTTCTTTTCAGGGTTGTTGAACATGCAAAGTTTTCAGAATGTTTTTAGGAAGGCTCAAGCGATGTTCTTGCTTTCAGATTCTGATTGGAATAATGATACTGGAATAATTCTGATTAGAATATTGAGGGGGAACTTTGTAGTTGCCAGAGCACCCAGGGTCCGTCAGCCACTTTTTTTTTTTAAAGAAGGAAATTAAATATTTGTTCATTCATTTATTAATTATTTTTTAAAGTTTTTATTTTGAGAGAGAGAGAGAGAGGGAGAGAGAGCTCACGTGTGTGCGCCTGTGAGCAGGAGAGGGACAGAGAGAGAGAGGGAAAGAGAGAATCCCAAGCAGGCTCCCCACTGTCAGCCTGGAGCCCAACGCGGTGCTTGATCTCACGCATCAGGAGATCATGACCTGAGCCAAAATCAAGAATTGGACGCTTAACCGACTGAGCCACCCAGGCACCTCTATATTTCTAAAATTTTAAACATCTTACAAAAAGTTTGGAAGGCAGAGAAGTCACCAATCATCCTGCTATCTGAATGCTGTGAATTCTCTTAAAATTAAAAAAAAAAATGTGTATTTTTTCTATCACTTTTATACTCTGCTATTTCTACTTCATATTTATCACTCCTTTAAGATTTATCCAGTTTTTGTTTATTTATTTAAGGATTTTTCAAATTTTATTTTTTGTTTTTAAAAACTGTTTATTTTGAGACAGAGAGAAAGACAGAGAAGATGCACAGGGGAGGGGCAGAGAGAGAGGGAGAGAAAATCCTAAGTAGGTCCTTGCTGTCAGCCTGGAACCCGACTTGGGGCTCCATCCTACGAACCGTGAAATCATGACCTGAGCCAAAATCAAGAGTTGGATGCCCAACCAACTGAGCCACCCAGGTGCCCAAAGATTTATCTGGTTTTAGAATGGAGGTTATGTCGTTTTCACTGTTGGGTCAGAAGGGACATGATGAATGAGAAGATACCACCGGCTACTTTGCATTTTGAAATAGGAAATTTTAACTGTTAGGCAGTATTCTTCCCACTGAATCTTTCAAAAATTCTTTTGGTGTGTGTTTTTACAAATAGGCATGAGTATTCTCCAGGAAAAGGATGACATATTTTTGGACCTGAAACAGAAATTCTGGAATACGTACAAGGTAAGAACAGACTTTTGAAAAGGTAACCCAGATCTTTTCGTATATTTGTAAAATTAAGTACATTTTAAGGAAACTCTTCTTAAGTTAGGGCTCCAGTTGGTTGGCACCAGGGGACGATATACTGATGGAGAGATCTTAAGATTGTTTTGCTAGTGAATGAGTAAGACGCTTTAAGGGTGTCTCTATATTGGGAGTGTCTATACATGCGTGTCTGAATTTTAGTCAATGTTCATGATGAGTCCTGTTTTGAAAATTTACTCTTATCATGGTTATAGTTTATTTAGTGAAGTTTGGACCCAAAGAGGTTGGTGCACAAGAGGAATAGTAACACATGAGTGATTAATGGAATCATGCCCATTCAGAGCCAATGTCCCCAGGTGTACATTCTGCTGCATCCCTGTGAAGGATGTTCCCCAAGATCACTTCTAGACTAAAAGCAAGTCACGTGTCGCACCGTTTGCTCAATACAAATATACACAACCCAGTCCAACAGGTATTTATTAACTTATTCCCTGAAGATTTATTGAGCAGCACCCCGAAGGCCTGGCAAAATCAGGGGTGCTTTCTGTCCCTGGCCTAGAGCATGTTTTATTCTATTAATCCCAATTAAGTGAGTTTTCAGGAGGGCCGAATATGCACAGACTGGGCCTTGGGCTTCACCTGTGTTTAATTCCCTATCAGAGGCGGTGCCAAGCCACACCGGGCTATTGCCTGTACTGATTCTGGCATCTTCTATGGAGTAACTGAGCCCCAGAATCAGCATTGCCTGCTTGATGGTTGGAGGCAGATGGTAGGGAGGGCGGAAGCTGCATGCTCCCCTCCCCACCCCCCCTGCCGTTATGCTCAGGGACAGTTTCTTCTCTTTTTTTTTTAATGTTTATTTATTTTTGAGACAGAGAGAGACAGAGCGTGAACAGGGGAGGGTCAGAGAGAGAGGGAGACACAGAATCTGAAGCAGGCTCCAGGTTCTGAGCCATCAGCACAGAGCCCGAAGAGGGGCTTGAACTCACAGACCGTGAGATCATGACCTGAGCTGAAGTCGGACACTCAACTGACTGAGGCACCCAGGTGCCCCAGTTTCTTCTCCTTTAAGGGGAAAGAGTATTCAGAGCTCTTGTTATTTCCCTTGGGGCAGAAATCAGGAGCCCATCGTGACTCACAAATCCAAATGTGATTTTCTTCTGCTTTATTTTGGAAAAAGAAACAAGTTTGCCCATTATGTCAGAGATCCTACGGAGGCATCTACACGTAACGTTTAAAAAAAAGAGCAAGCCAGCAGAATTGGGAAAGAAAGGGGCTTTAAGCAGGGACTTGCAGGTCTTTCAGATTCTCCTCCCTTAACTAAGACACACAGGCCACCTTTATTGGGTGTTGGATATCCTGCCAAGGATCCTATACGTCAGGAATAGTGGCAGGAGAAACCAGCTAGAGGGTCAGTGTAACCGAGGTCACATTAGAAACAGAGAATGGCGGGGAAGTGCCTGGGTGGCTCAGTCGGTTAAGCGTTGGGCTCTTGATCTCGGCTGAGGTCATGATCTCACGGTTCATGAGATCGAGCCCCAAGCTGTCAGTGCGAAGCCTGCTTGGGATTTTCTCTCTCCCTCTCTCTCTGCCCTTCCCCCACTCATGCTCGCAAAATACATAAATAAAACTTAAAAAAAATAGGACTGATTGGAGAGCTATTTAGGAGGTGGAATTTGTCGCTCTGGGTGAATGATTGGTGGTAGGGGTAATGGGGCAAGGATGCATCTAGGATGGCCTTGAGTGGTAGCTCATCACTTGGGATAGTGCATAGAGGACAGCGAGCCGATTGGGGAAAAAAGACAGATGAGTTCAGTTTGAGAAATATTGAATTCTAGATGCCATTAGAATATCCAAAGGGAGACTTCCAGATGCACAGAGGAGAGCCCAGAGAGAAGGACATTAGATATGGGAGAAACTGGTTAAAACCGGGCTTTTGAGCCAAGCTTGATCAATGAAACCAAGAGCACAAACACTAGGAGTTGGAAGACAAGAAGCGTCCAAAAAGAATCTGTCACAAAGGCTTTCTTGTAGCCCGAGGGACATGTGAGTGAAAGCAGAATTGCTTTTTGGTTGCTGAGGAATCAACCCCACGCCCGATCCCAAGTTCTTTGGATGAAGGTGGAAAGAACATGTCTCATTTATTTGTTGTTTACATGTAGGTAGTACTTGAGTTTTTACTTTGTTCTGTACAGATAGCTTGCAATTTATGTCTCCTTTCACTGCCTGCAATATGGTGGCTCAGGTATATTCCCTCTTAGAAATATATCTAGTATTACATTCTTCTCTTTTATAGGTTTTTATTTTTAAAAAATTTTTATGTTTATTTTTGAGAGACAGAGAGCGAGCCAGCAGGGCAGGGGCAGAAAGAGGGAGACACAGAATCTGAAGCAGGCTCCAGGCCCTGAGCTGTCAGCACGGAGACAGATGAGGGGCTCGAACTCATGAACCGTGAGATCATTACCTGAGCCGAAGTCAGACGCTTAACTGACTGAGCCACCCAGATGCCCCATCTTTTATAGGTTTTTAAAACTTTAACTTGGAAATGATTTCGAGCTGACAGAAAAATAACAGAATAGTTCAAAGAATACCCTTTACCCATATTTGCCTATAGTTAACATTTTGCCTATTTGTTTTATTATTTCCTGGCTCTATCCATCTATCCATCGATCTTTCTATCTGTTTCTCTGGATCATTTGAGGGTAAATTACACACAGAATTACCCTTTACCCCTAGATACTTAAGTATCTATTTTCTAAGAATAAATATGTTCTTTTATATAACCACAGCAGAGTTAGCAACTTCGATACATTTAACAACGGTGATAATCCTTTTATCTCACCCACCAACTTTATACCATGCTTGTAAATTCACTATCTAATGGTCTTTACAGCATTTCTTTTCCTTTCAAAAGGTAGAGGATGCAGTCTAGGGTCAGGTAGTGCATTTAGTTGTCCTGTCTCTTTAGTCTCCATTAACTGGGAAAATTTCCTTAGCCTTCTTTTGTCTATTACAACACATATATTTTTCTTAATTTTTTTATTTTTATTTTTGATAGAGAGAGACAGAGAAGCAGACTGCGAGTGGGGGAGGAGCAGAGAAGGAGAGAGAGACAGAGACACAGCATCTGAAGCAGGCTCCAGGCTCTGAGCTGTCAGCACAGAGCTCCATGGGCGGGGGCTTGAACTCACAAGCCATGAGATTGTGACCTGGGCCAAAGTCGGACACTTAACTGACTGAGCCACCCAGGTGCCCCTCAACACTTTAGTTTTTGAAGAATACAGTTTTGCTTCTCCCCTTAAAAAACAGCAACAAAAAAACCCCACAACAAAACCCCCAAAACAAAATACTCCCTTTTTGGCGGTATTTTGTAATACACGAGAATGTCAGCTAAACTTATTCTATAGCAAGAAATAGTAGAATATATTATTTGCCTTCAATCTTTTTACATAAAAAATCAAACGTTTTAGATAAAATTAGAGTCCCCTCTGGCTCTCATTGTGTGACATAGACTATGTTATTAACAAATCATTCCATAAAGAATGAAAAATTTAAAACTTTACTGATGATCCTTTTATAAATATATTCCTGGGGCATCTGGGTGGCTCAGTCGGCTCAGCGTCCAATGCTTGATTTTGGCTCAGGTCATGATTTCAGGGTGGTGGGTTGGAGACCCACATCAGCTCCGCTCTGGGCATTGAGCCTGTGTATGACTCTCTCTCCCTCTCTCTGTCCCTCTCCCCCACTAGTGCTCTCTATCTCTTTTAACACACACACACACACACACACACACTCCTATAGCATTTGCTTGGCCTAACAGTAAAACCACAATGTATAAATATGTGTTGTTATTTTGAAAGCGGCTAAGAGAAATGGTACTGATTCTGAGAGTCTTCTCATTCTGGGTCTGTGGATATGACTAATATAAATATCTCGTACCTGAAATCTCTTTGCACAGCTCTTACCCTCTTCTGCCTGAGAGACTTTAAGTAGTCTGATTTAAGCGGCTTAGTCTGAAACATAATACCACCTCCACGTTTTATCTGCCTGGTATTTCTTAATCTTTCATGGCATGAGCTGTGGGATTGTGTGTGTGTGTGTGTGTGTGTGATTAAAACGCATTCTAATAAAGTTTTTCTTTATTCCAGAGTGGTCTGATGTACTGGCCCTTTGTGCAGGTGAGTGTCGAACGACTCAGAATGCTAATTCATGGCTGTGGTTTGTCTGGAGCCTCGCATACTCTTTCTTTCTGTTACAGCTGACCAACTTCAGCTTGGTTCCCACGCACTGGAGGACAGCTTACACTGGACTTTGTGGTTTTCTGTGGGCTACCTTCCTCTGCTTTTCACAACAGAGCGGTGATGGCACGTTCAAGTCTGCTTTCACCTTCCTTCATGTGAAAGAGGCCGGTGCCGTTGAAAGGCCTCCCGAGAAATGAGAAGCCAAGGACTCCCTGACAATGACGGATTTATTTTATTTTATTTTTTGATGCAGTGGATTGCTTGCAGATAAGAGTCTACTCATCAGTTTTGTGCTCCATTTTGGAGAACTACTATTGCATAGACCCACCGATTAAGTATCAATGAATACTTTAAATTTTATTCAAACCTTTTTTCCCCATGCTAGTCTGAAAGTATCACTTCTCTACTGTGTTCACGTCTCTAATACTTTGGTGACCACTGTGCCATCATGGCATTTTGCAATTATTACTATTTCTATTCTAATATTTTAATGCCAGTTGATTTAAAGAACCCATTTTGCTTCTAAAATCTCAGGTTGTCTCCTAAACACTTTGGATCTGTTGAACTTTTATACCAAAAATATTCCTTATATAAGTAAATTGGTGTTTACATAGAGCTCAATCAAGGAGAAGATTGAATAACTGGATTTTTTTTTTCTGGAAATACTTTATAGAATAATTTCTTGTTCTCCTGATGCTAAGTTCTGTAAGAACATTTTATGCCATCAAAAAAAAAATAATAATAGTATGTGATTGGTGTGTCCTGTATAGAAATGTATTTCATGGATGTCTTCTACTATTGTAATTTTGAAAAATTTTTTTTAACGTTTGTTTATTTTTGAGAGAGAGCATGAGCAGGGGAGGGGCAGAGAGATAGGGAGACACAGAATCTGAAGCAGGCTCCAGGCTCCGAGCTGTCAGCACAGGGTGATGCAGGGCCCAAACCCACGAACCGTGAGATCGTGACCTAAGCTGAGGTGGGAAACTTACCCGACTGACCCACCGAGGCGCCCCATACAACTATTGTAATTTTGAAGTTAAGTACTTTTTAGTTCATGTGTTCTAGTTTTGAGCAAATTCAGGCCGAAGTATCCCATATCTGCATTCTAGACTTAGGAAATATACACAACATCTGGCTTCTTAAAGAAATATATTGAGGGGCACCTTGGTGGCTCAGTTGGTTAAGTGATGACTTCGGCTCAGGTCATGGTCTCATGGTTTATGGGTTCAGGCCCCACGTCAGACAGCTGACAGCTGTCAGCTGACAGCTCAGAGCCTGGAGCCTGCTTTGGATTCTGTGTCTCCCTCTCTCTTTGCCTCTCCCCCTCATGCTCTGTCTCTCTCAAAAATAAAACAAACATTTTTAAAAAATTTTAAAAAATATATTGAGTGAAGTTTCTTTTCTAAGAAAATGAACAAATTTTCTTCCTCTGGAAGGAAAACTCTATTTCATAGGTTTCCAAGGAAAACAGTTACCCCAAATTTCACACCGATGTTATATTTTTAAAAATCAGTGTTTTCAAATAAATCTTTATGGGCAGTCTTTGAGGCAGGTGTGAGAAACCTGATCCAGACTTTCTGATTTACTGTTTGTCTAACCTCAAAACCAGTGGGTCTAAAAATGCTGTGGATATCTCAGGAAGGTTCAGCAAACTTCACCTAAAAATTGCACCCCAATGCTGTTTTTCACGAGTTTTTCATGAGCATTTCACAAGTTTTAACATGGGAAGAGCTGAAGTGTTCATGCATTTATCTTGAGAATTTGTATTTAAAATTAAGGAATGTGCACTTAAGAATTTTAAGCATATAATTCATATAATTTGTAATATAAATGTGTTTAAGTCCTAACTATATCATGTCTATGATTTATTTGAATTTACTAGGTATTAATATATTTTACATTATTGGGAGAATGGTGAGAACGTTTCTAGATAGCTTAATTCTAAAATTTGTTACAGTACTCACATTATTTTGAAAGTAGTTAATACAACAGCTATTTCATAATATATAAGACAGATTTTGTCATTGAAAAAGTGTATCTAGAGTAACTATGATAAACTACTGCCTGGCAATCTTTTAGACAAGCTTCAGCATTACTTTTTTGATGGAATAATTGCATTTTGTATAGAAGTAATTGGGAACACAGGGGCGCCTGGGTGGCTCAATTGGTTAAGCGTCTGACTTCGGCTCAGGTCATGATCTCGCAGCTCGTGGGTTCGAGCCCTGCATTGGGCTCTGTGCTGATGGCTCGGAGCCCAAAGCCTGCTTCAGATACTGTGTCTCCCTCTCTCTCTGCCCCTCCCCCACTTGTGCTCTGTCTCTCGCTCTCCCAAAAATAAATAAATATTTTAAAAGATTTTTAAAAAGAAGTAATTGGAACACAGACCTTGTTTATACCATCAAGGGGGAAAAGCTTATTATTCATAAATGAGTGTGATCATCTTTACTCAGTCACGTGCTGCCCTGTGCTGTAGAGAACATATAGCATGCATTCTCTGAATTTTTGCAAGTGATACACTTCTGATTTTTATGCAATAGTACTTTCATGTTTTAGTGTGAGAAATGAAAGTTACTCCAAGTAATGCAATGTTTGTCTGTTTTAAAATGCTGCTGGGGCACCCTGGTGGCTCAGTCCGTTAAGTGTCCAACTCTTGATTTTGGCTCAGGTCAGGATCTCATGGTCCCTGAGTTCGAGCCCCGCATCGGGCTCTGCGCTGACAGCATGGAGCTTGGTTGGGATTCTCTTGCTCGCTCTCTCTCTCTGCCCCTCCCCTATCCCTCCCTCTCTCAAAAATAGATAAATAAACATTAAAAAAAAATAAATAAAATGCTGCCACTCTTGGTAAACCCTAAACCTCCCCAGGTTTGGAATTGAACAGGTGGCCCCCACTGTTCCTCCTGATTTTCCCATTCTGTAAGGTTTCTTTAACGCCCTTGTGTGTTGCCCACCGTGTTCTTCTGGTCCCGTGCTTGCTCAGGCAAAGGCAAAGCCTATAATTCGATTCCATGAACAGACATGAGACAGACCAGATTTTCAAAGACAACTTTACTTAATGCGTGTGGAAAACAAAAGGGAAATTTGAAAGGGGAATTTGAAAAATGTCAAAAGCATTTTTTTTAAAAGAAAGATGCAAAAGGGTATATGACATGGCACTATTATCATTTTTTTAATGTTTGTTTTATTTTGTTTTTGAGAGAGAGAGAGCACAAGTGAGGTAGGGGCAGCAAGAGAGGGAGACATAGAATCTGAAGCAGGCTCCAGGCTCTGAGCTGTCAGAGCAGAGCCCAACGTGGGGAGGGAACTCATGAACCGTGAGATCGTGACCTGAGCTGAAGTCGGATGTTTAACTGACTGACCACCCAGGTGCCCCTGTCAAAACGATTTTTTTATAAAAATTTTACAGAATACTGAATTCTTTATTTTTTTCATGTTTATTTATTTTTGAGAGAGACAGAGAAAGAATGCAAGCAGAGGAGGGGCAGAGAGAGGGAATCCCAAGCAGGCTGTGCACTGTGAGTGCAGAGCCCAATGCGGGGCTCAAACTCATGACCCATGAGATCATAACCTGAGCCGAAATCAAGAGTTGGACACTTAACTGACTGAGCCTTTGAGGTGCCCCCAGAATACCGAATTCTGGTCGTCTCATGAGTTAGTTTGAACTCAGAGATTACAAATCCTGTCCTTGGTCCAGGCATTTGGGGTAGTTACCCTGTGCCTCGAATAGTACCTTCCAGCATTCCTTTTTTCGGACTCTGTGATTGTCACTGTTTGATAATACCATTGACCACCACCACCAGGGAGCTGTCATTAATATCAAGAGTGCTCGAGTCCTGTCTTATTGGATGACTGGTTCCCATTTCCAGTCTCGGAGATAGACCTCTTACCCAAATAACTGAGAGAAATTATTTCCCAATCCAGGGGCGATCTTTACTTCCATACAAATGGATGTGACCATTCTTATTATCCACCAGATAAAGTAACAGATAAAATAACCATAATCCTAGCCTTCATGTAAACATCCAACAAATGTTATTAAATGGCCAGTGTGGGGGTGTAAAGAGGATAAACAACATGATGAGAAGTGTGTGGAAAGAATCATGGTCTATTTGGGAGTAAAAGTAAAAAAAAAAAAAAATGATAATCAATTTCTCAGGACATCTAGTCCAACTCATCATTGAGTGCTTGAGCAGCATCTATGACAAGTGGTCAATGGAAAGCTTGGATTTTACACAAATAAAACCACCCAGTCGTAGGTTAGTGGTATAAGCAGCAGGTACTTTGAAATCATGGTGCCCTGAGTAATCTAGGAAGGCTTCCTGGAGGAGATGCCTAAGTTGGGTCCCAAAGGATGGACAGTCACAAGACTAGAGGTCTGCAATGTGGAATGATGATTGTAGGATGGGATCAGATGAGATGAGATCTTAAAAGACAAAGCAAGAAAAGTATCTTATATCTTATCAGAGAGAGAATGGGAGTGAGGAAGAGGGGCAGAGGAAGAGAGAGAGAGAGAGAGAGAGAGAGAATCTTAATCTTAAGAGTGAAAATCTCCACATTGAGTATGGATGCAGGGCTTGATCCTACATCCCTGGAATCATGACTTGAGCCAAAATCAAGAGTTGGATGTTCAATCGACTGAGCCACCCAGGTGCCCCAAGAAAAGGTCTTTAAGTTCTAACCTAGAGGGAAATGTCCACTGACCCTTCCTCAACTTTGGGTAATGTAAATGCTTCTAGCTAGCTTACTTGTATTTAAAAAATCATGCATGATTTGCAACTTATTGGTATTTTTCATTTGTAGGAAAATTAATAAAAGTGATTCCCTCTCATCTATATCATGGTTTGGGGAGAGAGAATTAGGCAATGTATAAGTTTGCATATGTTTAAATTTTCTAATACCAAGTTTGAGAGAAGCACGTGAAAATATTTTCCTCAAAATCTGTGCAGTGAGGCGATTGGGTAGATAAAGTAATCGATCATTTGTCCACTCTATAGCTAGTGAATTTGGCATTTAGGGGTTCATACAAATGAAGGATGCTTTGGGAAAACTTTTTCTGATTTGTATGGATACTTTTGGGGCCAGAATAAAAACTGTTTCATGAACATAAGGAATTAAAGCCACTAAGAGATACAGTTCAAAGAGGAAAACATTTCAACATTGTAGGACTTTATTAATAATTATAAGTCTGTTTTTTTTTTAA